ATTCTCATACCTACCATATATACACAAAAAATTTCATAAAGATCGGTCATGCCGTTTAGGAGGAGTTCGACCACTAATACCGTGACACGAGATTTTTAAGTATTAGATACTATTTTTGAACTTCTTAATTTCTTAGAAAGATTTAGAATATGCAGTTTTGTAGCCTATTCAATTTTAGTGGAATAAAGAGCAAGTTGTAAGTAACTGCAACTTACCCTTGATTTTTGGTAATTTCTTTGTTGAAGGTGTTGCTCATTTTCCCCATACAAAAGAATTGTCGAATCGTCTGCGTATGGAAGAAAATGACGGACACCGTCAACAAAACAAAATTGAATGGACTACAAAGCTGCAAATCTTTCTAAGAAATCTAATCTAATCATATGTCATTCAAAAATGCATCAAAAGCGCCAAGTATCCGTGAGTTTCCCCGTTTGATTTCAAAATTGGAAAACTACCAAAGGGTTACCGCCTTTCCTCTACGGCAATACAGAAAGGGGAGTTCTACTTAGGAAGGTGTATAATCCCTCGAGATTTTCGGATTTGAAAAAGGTGCTGCATTTGACCTTTGACTTTTCGTAACTACCGTATTTCTCGTTTCCCCCAAAACAAAATTATACGGTTATGCTTGCCTCAGAAACCCCTATCGAACTCGTTTTTTTTTGTAATTTATCCATAGTTCGGTTTCTTAACTTGTTCCCATAGTCTACAATCTCCAACTTCTAGTAATTCGCATTTTCCTTTCTTTTCAGTGTACCATGGAACAAGAAGACACCTGCCGACCTGTTCCCGCCCCGCGTCGTCTCTATCCTGAGCTGCGAAAGCTTGACTACGAAAATGTGACTGTTGAATTGATAAATAAAAATCTCAACATAAACTCAGAAAACTTACACACAGTAACTAATTGCACCGAAAAAGTACCGAATAATAAAATATTTTTTGGTTCCCATTCTGATTTGGACGACACAGCCAGCACACGCAAATCCATTCTCACCGAAACAAATGATCTATATGGGCCCAACGCTAACGAAACGGTTGCCACTCCAGGACCCATATATTCTACGCCAACTCCCGCGCCACGCCCACGCAAGCCACAAAATACTGATGTAGAAAATGACAATAACATCTATGAGAATACCGAAGTGCTCCACGCATCGCCACAAACAACTCCAACCCTTTATCCAGAGCTGCCAAACAGCACACGCGCCATCAGCAAGGAAAACTCACCCAACACATCCACTTCGTCATCACCATCCGGCAGTCGTGCCGCACTGCGCAAAGCGCCCCTACTACCTCCCAAGACATACCTGAGTGCGGAGCGTGAACGCAGCAACCGTGCGCAACGATATTCCATTGGCAGTGAAGTGTCCACCACGAGCAGCTACAATGTAACCATTGGAGGTGGTGGTGCTCATGCAGGTGTCGGCGGATTGGATGACTGCGCTTTTGGCATTGGCTACACACAAAAATCAGCCTCCAACGCAACACTCAATTCATCTGTGGATGAGTCGAATGACAGCGGCGATAATTCGAAATTCAAATCACCTTCACCCGGGTATGTAAGAAGCAACGCGGGTGGCAATCCGAATTTGAACAGCTATGCGCTGAACGATGGTAGTGATATTAGTGTACGCGATGATGAGGATGATGATGTTGATATTCAATTTGAGAGTGATGATAGTAGCCGCAACAACAACAACAACAACAGCAATAAGTTCACTTGCATTTCCGCCAACAGTAAAATGAATGAAAAATGCGCATTCATTGCATTAACCGCCAATGTCCCTACATCTGCTATTGCGTGCAACCAAACTAAAGACAAGTAATGCTTATCACTATGTGAATGAATATACGATTTGTAGTTGAATTTGAATTTCTCACTAATCAGTTAGTAGCATTCTTGCATGTAAATGGCGCTAACAAATTGTATGGGTGTTTGTGTCTAATCAAGTAAATAATAGGTTATGAATTTGGTAATAATGCACTTTAGTAAGATTTGTTTGGTTTTTGTGCACAATAACACTTAAAAAATATATAAATCTTAATTTAGCTGTGCTTCTATAGAAAATTGTAAAGTTTGCAATGTTACCAGTGCAATTTCAAGTTTATAACTCCAAGAATTTTCAGCTTTATAACATAAGATGCTGAAACCAAAGAAAGTCAGCGTAAGCGCAAGTAAATGACTTAGTCGATCTTGAATTTGGCTCCTCATATCTGACATTAGCCATTGTTAGCTCCTACCAAGAAGCCATCAAGCTCAACACAGACAGACTACATCGTTTACTATACTTAGGACAACAACACGTAGTTCTCAGATAAAATAACCGGTGAAGTACTATAAATTTCTGTACAGGTATATAGAACCTTACAGGCAGCGCAAGAATTCGGAGAGTCCTTGTAAGAATGCGGACTGAAGATTTGGGGCTCCTGAAAAGGCCCGAAAGATTTTTCACGAACTGCTGCATGGAATCCTCTAACTTACTTGTTGCATGCCACTGAGCACAGAGGATTGATAAGGTCCCTCCCGCTACAACGGTAGGAAACGACGGTCCGCACATACACAAAAGGATAAACCAGCAGGCTAACCAAAGTCCCACTAACCCATCAGTTATATTTACTTTCTGCTAAAAACCACGGAAACAATTTTAGACAGGCATATCGGGGATAGTTCCCTTACCGGAAACACTTTGCTTCAAACCTATCATACAGGAAAATCTAAAAACTATGATCTTCGCAGTCTTACAAGTAAAATTTCTAAGTCCACGGGGAAGAAAGAGGTGGTGGCAGGATGTTTCTTCGAAGTTGAAGGCGCTTTCGAAAACACGGCAGGGGGTTGATGTAGCCAAATGTCGCAGGATAGCAAACGTCCTTACATCCAAAATCATTTAATCCATTCTAGGACTGGAAAAAGTCAGATTCTTAGCTACGAAAGAGTGGCCCGCACGGGGTAGTGAGCCCCTCTGCTATGGCTCATCATAGTAGGCGAACTACTCTGCCTTCCTAGTGAAAAACGCTTCGATGCACAGGATTACACGGACAACATTCTCATCATAATCAGACGGAGGTTTATACTATCTTCAAACGCTTCTTCAACCGCAAATGTTCGTTTCCCATAACCCAAGTCATTTTGCCATGCTCTGGGTACAGCAAGTCTTCTGCCCCTTTGTTTAATTGGATAATGTAGCTCTTTTGCTTCTCCGTCGGCTTAGATACCTGAAGTACATTCTAGTCCAGTGTTAGTAAATATATTCGTGTTTTGTGCCTACAAAAAGTGCAGGGCGTCCTCCAACTTCACCACAAACGGGATTCGTAGCTCTACCTTTCGGTAGTCATCTGTAAGTAAGGCTCACTAAGATCTCGCAACGCGACAGTCAGGTGCTGCTTGGCTACCTAGTTTAGTCTTACGGGACCTGGGATCCCATTTTTATACTCGGCTTTCTCAGCTTTCCCGCTGCTCTTTGTCATTGCCACATTTGAAGTCGACTGCCCATCGACGTCGCTTTTGTGTTGCCTTGCGGCCTTCTGTAGCGGTTTGTCGCTGTATGATTTTCCGCCGTTTAATAGCCGGCCTCTCATTTTCCGCATGCTCTCACAATCTGTCGGATCAACGACGGCTCCCAGGCGCTGGATTATGCCCAGTGCCGCTTTGTATTGCAATATGGCTGTCCCTCACTCTCTATTTCGCACCTGTTTGCTCTCTGCCGTCTTCGCGTCTCTGGCAGAGACCACGCTGCTTTCGCCACTATCGGAGTCAGTGATCGCTTTTCCCTTAGGAGCTCTAGCGAACGACTTTCTTTCTTCTTCATTTTTCTCCTTCTGTTTTTGTTTTCCTTGTTGTTGTTCATCATCTTGGTCGTACCGCCACCTCCCCGACAAAGCGGACATAGTGGTCAAAATATATCGACTGCTGAGTGGAAGATCGACCTATCTCGGCAGCCAGTTCGAAAACGCCATATCTCAAAAAAATTTCCAAGAACGCCCTATTTCAGAATTTTATTGAAAAACGCCCTATCTCAGAATTCGGTTCAAAAATGCCCTATCTCACTTCAAAATGTATTGGAAATTGGATGAGATAGGGCGTTTTTGAATCGGCAGCTGAAATAGGGCGTTCTTGAAAAGATTTTTGAGATAGGGCGTTTTCAAACTGACTGCCGAAATAGGACGATCTTCCACTCAGCAGTCGATATGGTGAGGGCATGCATCGTCCACCGTAGTAGCGCCCTTTGCCACGGTAAATCCACCGTTACTTTCCAAGGCGGCCCGGGGAAGGCTTTCGTAAGCGAGCGGGATATTTTGGGGCACCCAGCCTGGCCGATCATTAGCACGGAAACGCTTGACCTTGATCCCGCCCCTGTAAGGAATTACCTGACATCTATTCCGATAGCAGCTATTAAGGAAATTAAGCACATAGCACTGACCCCTTATCTTAGCTAGATACCGTCCTGACATCGCATAGCCTCACCCTCTATGGGAAATTTGAGCCTATTTTGTGGCCAGAAGTCAATTTCTTGACATGCTTGAAATTAATTTTTGTTTGCATCTTCAAAATACTTCAGAGTAAAAAACTGTATACCCTGTTTTTCGATAAATTGCTTACCGTTGATTTGGTAACCCTCAAACGTATAGTTTCGAAATTTTCTGTAGCTTGATTTTGTGCCACTTTCAAATGCGTGTATCTCGTAATCGATTTCCTGCTTTTCAAAAGTGAAAAGTGGAAAGAAAGAGTGACGGTCAGCAAAATATTTACCAATTAAAACTTGTATTATAGTTTAAAGGTTGTGCCAAAAAAACGTCCGCATTCAAGTGACTTTAAAGTGAAATTGCACAATTAAAAAAAAAAAAATTATTTAGTTTACAAATTTTTTTTTAAAACGTTTAAAAAAAACTCATCAATAAATCGGTAGAATAGTCCATGATCTCTTATTTCCCCATAATCTTATACTGCGATTTTGTGCGATAGTAAAGAAATTATAATTTTTCTTAGGTAACTACTTCGTACAAAATCATGAGTTTTATGAAATAATTCACGGTATTATAATTTAAAAGTTAAAAGTAAAAAACCTGTCAGGTAACAAAGAGAAAGTTTTAAACTTAATGTCAGTGTAGGATTCGAGTCGATATTTAAAATAGAACGTACGAGGGATCTGTTTATTTTTTGTGTGGTGTGTGTGACCATTACGGGTTAATTTTTGCGCGGCAAGGCCACAACTTCTAGTCCTACTACTGGGCCAAATTTTAAATAGATATCTCAACTTTTAGAATTTAGGCCACAAAATATGGTCAAATTTCCCATAGTGCACTGTAGTATCCATTTCCGGTCGGTACCCTCGCGGTGGCTTTAGCCGAGGATTTTCGCCAAGCATTTGAGTCAGAAGTCTCAGAGTTCTGAATTCTAGCCCCCATTGTGTTTCCCAAAAATGCGTCAGAAAAGATAATATTTCCCTTCTTAGAAGGCCACGCCAATATGAGTCCAGGTTAGGAGTCATATTAGAGTATGAAATATGACGCTTTCTGAGTATTAAAAACAAATGTTTTTTTTATAATTCTGATTACTAGTTAATAAACGTTTACTTCCACGTGAACTTTGATACTTTTGTTCAACTCAGAATTTAAGACACCAAAAGAGTCCGAAACGAGTATGTGGTTCACTTGTCTCAGAATCATATTTATGACGAAATAAAGACACATTTTAGATTCAAAAATTCTGGGCACTCAGAAAATTGTTTAAATGGAATGTTTAAATGGTCGTGTATAGTCATATGTACGTATATACATGTGTACATATGTATGTAGTTTTCCAGATTTTATGCTATGAGACGTTCCCACTGTTACGCATACACGTATTTGCTGCGTAAATTTAATTACTCTCGGCGCTGATAAAAAAACATTGACTGTTAATGCAATCTGCTCCAATAAAAACACATTTCCTAATATGCGACATTTATGAATGAACGTCAATATATTTAGTAGAGATGGCCTAAAAACGCATTGGGCTATTCCATTTCATAGATGGGCCATTTGTACCACGAAAATTTTCTTTTCTTCATAAATTTAAGTATAAAATGCGTAGCAATACTGCATTTCGATAAATCCACATAATTCACTAATTTATGAGTTATTACCAAATACGAAAAAATTATTAATTCATTTTATTTGGGAAAAACTAAGTTTTTTCTGCCACGGACTGAATAAAAATATACCTTCATTTTTGAAAGAGAAATATTTTAATGCAACTCTGCGAATAAATTTCACATTTCTATTTAAACAAGATGCTTTATTATAAACTAAGCAACCTGAAATACTTACAGGACAAAACCACAACAAAAACTCTGGCTTTATTATATAAAAATCCGAGATTGCCCTGCCACGGGCGGGACAACTTTTGCCGCATACGATTTTCTTGATGACCTTGGTTTCTAGTGTTATCCATATTAAAGAGATTAACTATGATAAGTATCAAAAGCCATGTAACAAGATCAATTTACCCACTTTTATCACAATACAGTAGGGCTGACATAATCCTAAACCAATATATTCCCTATAAGTATAGTTTCTTTGGTTCTAATATTATAAGCAATTTTTTTTTTTCTTATTCAGGGTTTCCAACCATAATTTTAACGATCATGCTTATTTTGCTTATTTCAATGTATAAAGCTACGGACCTTTTGAGTAAACGATCAAGAAATAAATTGCTATTATTTTGTGTGTGTGAATAGTAGTGTCCAAGGAGTTCTGACAGCTGATATTTTATAGCATGCTGTCTCACTTTTTCCTTACGAAATAATGAAACGGGCATATATTTCTGTTGAAAGCAAGGGTGCCTTGTAGTACTCTTCACAAACAAACTTCAGCAATCCATAGTAGAAAGCGTAGCAAATTTCTTAAGCACTTCGTACTGCTTTAGACAATTTGGCACACTAAGTTTTTCTTGAGCATTTCTTGGGCTTTTTTTGTTCATCGAACTACAGAAATGTTTACAAATAATAACATAAAAACAGATTTAATTTTTATTAACCCTTAACTTCAATTGCATTGCTGTTTGGATACAAATATTTGAAACCAATGGTTCGTCTCTATGGGAAGGCAATGGTGTTATTGAAGAGATTAAAAATAATTTATTACAAATGGGGAATAACGAATATTTAAACAAATTTAAAACTACCAGCGCAGATCTCTATTATTTGAGAATATCAAGCAACACTTTATTGTCCATTGCAATTTTTCAATCATTGAAATAAACATTAAACTGTACTTAATTTTTGTTGATTTGCGAGCATATTTACCAAAGTTTTAGTGCTTATCTAAGCGCTTAAAATGGATTTTTGCTTGCTTATTTTCTTCGGCCCTGTTGATGATGATGATATGCTCAAGTTCGGATTTTTTTTGTCATAAAAGAAAAAATTTCTCCTGACGGTGACGTAACTTGGAAAAAGCGGGCCTTTAAGTGGTCTTGAAAGTTTGCCTTACCACCATTAGCAAATTTCCGCATATCCTACAACGCGCTTCATAATCATTTTTGCCTTTTTGTATATGCATAACCTGAAGATAATTTAGGTAGGATATCTTAAGTGAAGTGAAAAGACTGAAAAAAGTTCTTCCCTGCATGCTTTCTATAAAGGTGTTTCCTATTTTTGTAATTTACGCGAATGTACTTAAGTATCTATCTATTTATATATATAATCGCGAAGGGATTTGTTGTCCAGGATCAAAGATCTGTACCGTTGGCCCGATTTTCAAAAATGAGATGACAAATTAAAGCGCTTGGTCTGTAGATGTGCAAACTGGTTTTAGTTTTTCGAAAGGAGTTGCCAGCTGTTGAAAAATTCAATTCAAATTATTTAATACTCAATGCGATCAAATCCGCACCGTTTGTTCCATTTTCCAAAGTGAGACGTCAAAAAATTCAAAAAATTATATTCAAATGGTTTTGAAAAACTTTGTTTCTTAGCGGAACCCTGCCACCTGTTTAAAAAATCATATTAGGTAAGAGAAATATGTATCACCATATGGGTGCCAAACTAAAGTGGTTTCAGAAAGTAGTATTTTGAATATATTTTGAAGAGGATTGCCATCTGCTTGAAATGTCGAATTTAGTTTATTTATACACAAGTTATACGAAATATCAAAATATGGATGTCAAACGAAGGATTGTTAGGACATCTTTGTTTTAAATCTAAGAATATTTTTGAGGTGTTCGGTATATGGATATCAATCGAAGTGGATTTGAAAAAATGTTATTTCGGAATTGTATTTAGCGGGGTTGCCACATGTTTGAAAATTAAAGTTCCATTTAATTCATCAGTTAATTAAAATATGCATCGCAGTGTCCGGCGAAGGAGAGTTACCAATTATTAAGCTTGAAAATACATTTGCAGAGGACTACCGGTCTCCGAATGAAGCTTTAACGCAGTGTAATATGGGTAAATCATATCCATCGGGCCAATCGGAAAACACGCCATTTCGGCAAACTCAGTGGTGCAGCACGTCGACGTAATCGGACATTCACGACACTTTCTCTCACTGCAAGTTTTTTAGTAATAACTCGACTCCAGCCCCACCTGACGGCTCCTTTTTGTTAAAGTATTGCCCTTACCATTACCAATACATATCCCGAATATGAGCCAAATCGCATCATAAATACGAATTTTTAGTAATAACTCGACAACTTTCAAATAGTCCCACCTCTCTCCATGAGTATGCCATTGCTTTCAT